GAAAACTTCGAAATTAATTTCGAAGTAATTTCGAGGTTTTCGAAAATGGAATGGCGGTAGTCTGGTCAATCAAATCAAATTAATTAAGTTGTATGCACAATTGTTTAATGTTTAACGGTTAAGTAAAATTCAAAAATTTCAACGGTTTTGTAGAATTCAAAAAGTAACTGCATCGAAAATAATATTTCTTGGGCATAAAACACAACAAATCGACAAATTAAGTGAAAATTTAGTATAATTAAATGACAGAAGTTGATTTTAACTGTACCGACCTTTTCCTAGCAATACTAGCTCAATCTACAACTAATTTTTCACTCAAGAAAGCCTAAGCTTCGTCAATATAAACGACAACAATCAAAACTATAAATTACAGCCTCGAATAAGCCACAATAAAAACCTAGTAATGCACCCACAACATAATATCAACAATTCACATAAAACTTAAGGTCTCAAATGGAACTATTGTTCATTAAACTCAGCATAAGAATCATAAAAGCGATTATATTTCACTACGTACGCTCGCATCATGATTTTTCTTTTATTTCATATTTTATACTGCTTATTTTATTTTCGGGAGAAAGACGAAAAATGGAAGGAAAACAATAAAAATCTCGATTGAATATTCATTAATTTTTATATCTCCAGAGACTCATAAAATAGTTTCCCATTATTTCAGTTCCCGAATTGAATACTTCTCAAATATACATGCATATAAAAAAACTATATTTTATGCATTAGATAGCTTAAAGAGCTAGTGTGCCTCAAAAATTATAAAGCAGAAGATCTTTTTTTTTTCAAAAATACAAAACAATGTAAAAAAGAGAGAATTTTTCATCACTAAAAAGCCATTATTATGTATTTAATGGGAACTATTATACACGTATATGTAGTTTTTATGATTCTAGCTTTTATCTAGCTCTGTCTTCCTCTTTTTCAACATTCATCTTCATTATGCATCGTCTGGTATTTAACTCTTTAAAGTATTTCCATTTCTATTTATTCGGATGGACGCTTCGTCCAAAAAAAAAAGTGAATTCAAATAAGAGAAAAGAATAGGAATGAAGGAATTAGTTGTTTCAAGTGAGAGGAACATTCCCAAGCCTCACAAAAAGAAAAAAAAAACATTATTTTCTTCTTCTTTCCTCTCATTCTATACAAACCCAAAAGCATCTAGTCAATTAAGCGTCATAAGAGATTTGTTGTTATGTTGATCATTGACCTTAACAACACTTTTTCTTACGCTTACTTTGGTTCTGTACGTACATACTGCTTTCGTAAGATTAATAATATAATTTATCTCATTTGGGTCATTTTTCATTTTAGAAAAATTATGGCAAACGAAGATGATTTGCTTTTGCAGTTTATGAATTCTTATTGGTTTACTATCAGCTGAGTAGTTGGAGAGAAATTTATGGAATGGATGTTTTTGAGGGAGGGAATGTTTACAGTTTTGAGTTACGAAGGTTATGCAATTTATGGAGTTTTTTTGAGTAGAGTTAAGTATGGGAATTGATAAATTTTAAAGTGTTTTGAATGAATTTATGATTTCTGGATCCAGATTTTTGAAACTTTCAGGATCAGCTTAGACTTACTCAAATAGCAAAATGTAGGTAGCACCTATTCTTGAAAATTGGTATTTTTAAACCTAAACTTGGTTCAAGATAGTCTACAAGCACAAGACGACTTTAGTTTACTAGATCAGCAAATCAAGTTCTTTCCCAACCCCAAGAAATCTACCAAAACTTAACAAAACCACCTCTCTAGTACCTCAATCCATTCAATGCATATGACAATTCAATGTCGTGTACTTCTTGTTGAATTCTTGCAAATATCATGAAAGAAAAATCCGCAGAAAAAAAAATCATTCAACTTCTTCAATTTCATTCTTTAGCTTCCATGACACCACAAAGACTCAAAGGCAGAAGAAAGAGAACCGAAATAAAAAAAATAAAATGTATAAAAGTCAGAACCAAACGTAACATAATCTCTTCATTCATGTCATCAGGTTTCCCATTGTTTTTAATCAGTCCATTTAAAAGCATTGCTATTCGACTGCTGACTGCCGTAATAGAACAAATATTAAATAAGAATATACTCAGTGTATGAGATTGTCTAAGTGTATTGAGCGGTGAAATGGCATCAGTGACCTAAATGGTAGAGCGTTGGCCTTCTGTGCCAAAGGTCCTGGGTTCAATCCCAGGCCATGTCTAATTTTCGAAGCTCTTTTTCCATTTCACCGTTCTAGTTACGAAGCTCGGTTCGTGTGCTGGGTGTAGTATTGATGTCTTTGGCATAGAATATGCCTCCTTTGCTAGGTATACAAGGATATACTAGCATCTGGATGACTTCCTTACGGCATCTTGCGCACACGGATTGTGACTAGGTACATTGCAGGGTACATCAGGTCTTATGACGTACTCGTGTCTTTGCAATGTACAGAGCTTGCAAGTGGTTCGGATCCCACTATAAACTGTAGGTCTAAAGGGTGTGGTACAATAGATTCTGTTCTAATTTGAATCGCAGTGCCTCCAGCTGAAAGGCTGGGCCCTTCACACATTATATATTATATATGAGATTGTCTGGGGAGTTTAGGTGTAGCTAGGAAGGAAAAGAGGGATTTAATCTTGGAAACTAAGAATCGAGTTCCTTGAAATTAAAAATGTATCAAATCTCGACAACCCAATTGAGAGGTCAACTTCCCTCATCATCAAAGAATTCCCAACTACACCCCTGCCCTTGAAGCATTTAGATTCTAGCCCAAGCCAGCAAGAAAAATGAGCCGATTAATTTTCATTAGGAATCAATATAAATAATAATAATAACCATTATAGGTATGAATGTGCAGCATAAAAAATAAAAATCTTGTAAGAGAAATCGAATGTACACAAAATAAATGTACGTAGGAAGAGATCAATGGATACAAAGAAAGAAATATTTGGGAATCAAAAAAGAAAGAAAATAAAGGAACAAGAGATTTTCGCTCCAAAATACAGAAAGAAACCCGAGGTTGTAGAGACTGAATGTTTTAACACAACTGTACTTTTTTTTTTCTCTTTCGAGCCATGTGATTTTGATGTCTCCATATTATCGAAAAAAAAGAGTCGAGTCAAGAAAAAAAAATAACAAAAATGTAAGCATGAACCGGTGACTAAGGTTGTGTTAGTATGTTATGCGACATACACAGTCGGTGGATATTGAGTATATAGAAAAAAGATATTTTTACACAGTCAAAACACACAAACACATGTTTGCAGCAGTCGTCGAGACGAACAGCATTGAATTTATTATGTGATGAGAAATGTGTCCTGTGACTGTGTGCGTAGCCGCCGACATACATATTATTATTTTCTTTCTTTCTTTACTTCTTCTTATTCTTGCTTATTTTTTTCGGGATTTTTATGCTGCATTATGTAAAAAGGGCAAGAGACGAGAGCGTTGTGTAGTTTTTTACTGCTCACTAATACAGACATAGAGTCAGCGTACATGAAATAATGAAATTGAAAAAAAACGGCGTCCCTTGAAAAAATAAAATATAAAATAGAAGAAAAGGGAGAAATTTGTATGTCGGAGCATCAGCAACGCTTTTGCAAAAGAATGGAAAAATCAGCTGATTAGAATTTCCAATCTCTCAAAAAAAATTGTATATACATGCAAAGCGATTAAGCAAGTAAAGAAAAGGAAAAATTATGAAATTTATTTTATTGTGCTGGTTGTGCAATTTATTTTTAAAGATTTTTTTTTTGTGTTATCAAAATTGAGTTTTGAAGTTGAATTGTGGCGTGGGTGGAAGATTAAGGCGCAATTTAAATTATTAATATTGAAGAACGTTAGGTTTTTGGGTTGGTTCTAGGTTTGGTTTGGTTTTCAAGTTGGTTCTAGGTACGAGATCTGACAAAACTATGAAAGTAAAATTAAATGTGTGACTAATGATGTAAGCATAATCTTAATTAGAATTACATAAACGTAGCCTAGCTTTACGTAAACTTATACGTAACCTTAAATAATCATTGAACAATTTTGTGAGCAATAATTCAATAAAGCATTAATATTCCATCGTCAAAATATCTCTTTAATAATACAATTTCCTAATAACTCTACGCATCATCATGATTTCAATCGTTAAGTACACTTATACCCAGAGCATCAAAATATATTCACAAGAATTCTTCACTCAATAAATCCGATTAGAAATCAAGAAAATACGAAGCCTTTAAATTTCTCAGAGAGCGCTCCGAGCGTACAAATATGGAAAACGTGGCTGCATATATGAAATAATATTCTAAGAAAATAAAAAAGCTGAATTGACGCCTCATGTCTTATCAATGAAGAATATAAAAGAAACTAGCTTTAGTGATAAAAGTGACAAAAATAAAATATTATTAAATATATCAAGCAATAGAATGGAATGGAATCGAAAAAGAACAAGAAGAAGAAAAAGAAAGAAAGACGTAGTAGTAGTACTCATTCGCTTTTTTTTGAAGGTTGGGTAATCAGATGATTTTTAGAAATGGCGGCAAACATGGAACAGCTGAGCACTAGCACGTTTTTTCTCTTTCTCTCTCATTCGGGCTTTTTTTGTGCTGCTAAAAATTCGTAACATAATTTTTACTAAACAGAATGAAACTTGATTCCATAATTTATGTGACTGACTCACGCATTCATAATAAATTAATTAGTACGCAGAAAAAATGACATGAGAGACTTTCACTCAAACCAATTTGATTATCCACCTCCTCGTATATTTGTCGTGTGTGATTTTCAAGCATATATACATTCACAGTTCCCCGTAAAGCCGGCAAACTTAGTCCATCGCTTGAAAATGTGGCATTTTGCCGATTCGCATTTAACACAAGTGAATTTTTAAATTCTGAAACGCAATAACTCTCGTGCAAAAGTTGCCTTATCAAACAACTGTTTCTATTTATTACATTTTCATATGTATACGTCGGCGCTTAATTAGTCGGCAGAAAATATAAATAATATTTATAACTTTGACTCACCTTATTGTTTCTTGCTCAATTTCCTTTAAATGATTTGATGCTTGAAAGATGTTATTATTGTTCATATTGTTTTCACTTTTACACAACAACTGAATTGTTGACATTATTCACTTTAAAATCACTTCTTTTTTATCAGATTTCACAAAACTGTAATTTTTATATCTTTTTGATTTTCACAGAAATGAATTAGATTCACTCGATGTATTCCAATGTTTAATGCAATTTCTGTTTTGTTTATTTTTTGATTAATTTTTTCTCACATTCAAATTTCACTAATATTTTGTATTTATTTATTTTGATAACACACAGGATTTATTTTGGCTAATAAGAAAAACTATAGCGCGCGAAAGCGAACAAAATTACGTCTTTCACGTTGAAAGAATACGTTACGAATGATGATTTAATAAGTATTTGTACATACGGAGTATATCTCTACAAAATTGAGAGAGATAAATAAACAGAGAGTCTCTTTTCTCTCAATTGGAGACTTTTAAGTATGAATAAAGAGAAAATTCTTTTAACTTAATTAAACTATTCTTCTGTTTAAGTTCAAATTCTCTATGAAAACTTTAATAATTCTTAAATTTTCAATATTTTTCAATGATGTCTTCGATTTTTTCATCAAATCTGACAAAAATTCTTATCAACTTGCCTTTCTTTGTTTCACAATAAGCATGAACATTGTTACATGAACTCTCTGTCCTTAATCATATGGTTTGACGTAGAGACGCTCAATTATGTTGGCTGTAATTTTACGTATGAAACAGATTACATGATTTTCTTTGTTAAAAAATGAAAAAAAAAAACTTATTCTTATAGAACTCACATGTGTTTTTGATTACAAACTTACTTGCTTACTTTGTATTTTAAGGATATTTCTTTAGGAGCTCATTCCTCTCTTTGTTCTTTCTGTTTTTAAATCAATATGAACTCGTGGTCGATTGTATTACATTTGAAGCTGAGGTGGCTTTTAAAGATTGAAAAATTGCGAAATTAAAGTTGCTTCTATTTTAAATAAGTATTCCAATTTCACCATTTCAGGTTAGTCTAATTTCCTTCATGGCACTGTAAAATTCTAAAATTAAAATTTTGGTTTTAAAAATAGAATTTTTGACACCCCCCCCCCCCCTCTCTGCTTTTTGTGTTTTACAAAAATCTATGGTCTTCTTTCTCTTGATTCACTGTTTAAAGCCATAAATTAATCAAAGGGGTTGAGGAACGTGAAGAAGAGGGATGAGGGGGGGGGGGGGTCAGCAATACCAAAAAATTTAAATCATAAATCTCGTCCTATAACTTAAACATTCGTTTACAACCATACTGGCATACATACCTCAATCGCATATCATGCGAATCCACCAAGCATGCTCATAAGAATTTCATCTAACGCCATCTATTATCAGGGATTACACTCAAAATTCCCATTGACATCCTATAAGATGTTGACTAAGTTCCTAAAAATACACAAAAGATTTTAAATGATATCTTAAAATACTCAACTTTTATATCAGCAAATATTTTTATTTTTATATCTGGAAATAAGTTCAACATTGTGGATGATTAATTCTCAAAAAGACAAGAAAAAAATGAAAGCTCTAAAAGAATTTGTTTAAAATGTTTCCTGTTGAAGAATGCGGAAAAATCTTCGAAATAACATTTAATATAATTTTGTTTGACAAAAAGTGTTTAATCTGTGATGGCTCTGGCAATGACTGGTCTACTGGCTTTAACGTATCTGAAGAATAAACTGCTGCCACGCTTGTGATCGCCAGCTGATTTTAATGAACTATAACAGTGACGCCATGAGTCGTATGATGGCATTAATGGCATTGATCCAGCTTTTAATCTAAAATTGGATGAACATTATATTTTTAACGGATATTTAAAGTTTGAAATTCAAAGCCATACAAATGTTTGAGAATCTATAGAATTTGTAAGGTTTTCAAGCACATTTAAATTATGATTGACAGTTGAACTTACCCAGTTCCATTAACAATCATGCAAGTCGAGACGACATTCATTGGATAGAACATGCTACTGCATACAAATGAAGTTAAACTTCCGAAATACATTCTGCCTTCCTTCTCACGAATAAAGTGACGTCCAACCAAATATGTTGCAGTACTAGCGACAACGACACACGATAGATCAAAAACTAAACGTGGAATGAGTCCGGAAAAGAATCCCCAAATGCCTTCGTCTTTGTAAATTTCAATTATTGATCCAATTATAGAATTATATTTTGTCTCCTTTCCAATAAATTGAGCCATCATACGAATGGATATAACATGAAATGGTGATGTAATAATAGCACCGGCAGCATGAACAACAATGTCTCGTTTTAATTTAGTCTGATAGCGTTCAAAATATTCATCATCAGTCATGTCCTCCTTCTCTGTATCTTCAATACGTGCCATTCCTAATTGATCAGCTACTTTATCACTGTAATGACTGGAAATAAGGGTTCCAAGGAGCTTTGGCGTTAAGCCTCTATAACATCCAATAAGACCATCGACGCTTCTTATGAAGGCAACTAAAATAGATGCAAACAAGGTAGAAGAAGAAGTAAGGAAAATGATAAGAAGACGACAAAGTTCCAAATCATTAAAAATCTAATCGTACCATATTGGAAAATGTTTGGCAATCCTAGAGCTGGCTTTCCGAGCAGTGTTGTTGTTGGACGAGCAGCTATTGGTTCAAATCCGATCTATAAAAGTCCAATTAATTATGATTTATTTTATGCAACATAAAATCTATTTTTTATACCTGAATCAACACTTTACTGTATTCTAAAGGATGTAATGCACTCTGAACGGCAAGTTTTAGGCCAAAACGAACCCACTCGTTCACATTCTCACGCTCCTCGATTTGTTCTGAAGCCGCTGATGCCATATCTGATTTAATTTTATTAAATTCCAAAAATGAGTTTTTTTGGAGTGAATTTTCCTTAATTTCCTTCTCTCCAAAATTATCTCTACAATGCTTTTCTTGGCCTTCACTCACTGAACCGCTCATGATTATGAGATCTGAGGATGTAGGATTATTAAATGGATTAAGCTGTGTCTACTGTATTAATTAGTTTCCTTTTATTCTTATTGAATTCACTAGAAAAATCAATTTTAAATTTTGTTTACTTTTTTATCGCTCAGTTGCGAGACCTTCAACTATGCTGGATTTTAAATTTTGAAAATACGTTAGACAATTAAGAACTATATTCATGTTTTTATGCAATCTTTAAGTAATTTTGTTAATAATGCATCAACAATTAGATTAATAATCAACTGAGAATTGAGTTTTGCGAATGTTAAGTAGAGATATCAAATTATTTGTGTATTTATAATTTTCAAGGGATAAAAGCTATGCAAAGATTGACTATGGATGTTTGATTTCTAACGTTAATTTGTCATTCAGATTTCTAACCTTGAGCAGGTAAGACGTTGCTTTATTTACAAAATAATTCCGAAAAATTGTCAATAAAAATGTATTTTAGATATTGTTTGCGTTTCATTTATAAGTTTTTTATTGATTTCTAGAATTTATTAAGTTCTATAAATTGCAAACTAAGGTTCAGAACAGTGTTGCAAATGTAGATGTCTACACTAGATGAAGAATGTAGGTTCTTCAATAGTTTTTGTCTAGCTAAGAAACTTTCTTAATAAAGATCGATTCTACATGAAGATAGAAAATCTAATCTACACAAAGATTATTTGTACATAAAGATTCTGTCTACATAAAGATTCGATGTAGATGTCTACAATTCTACATTTTTTCCAGGTCTACATCAGAGAAGAATGTAGAATTAAAGACATCTACATCGAATCTTTATGTAGAAATAATCTTTGTGTAGATTAGATTTTCTATCTTCATATAGAATCGATCTTTATGAAGAAATTTCTGTCTCATAATTTATCTGATTCAGACAAATAGCGAGAATGCAACACTGCTTCAGAAATCAAAAAAACACTTCCGAAGCTTAAAAATTGCATTCTTATATATTTGTTGTCCAAAATTTAAACAAGGAAATCACAATCAAGTTGAAATCAACTTGATACTCACCATTTAATAAAAGCTTCATACACAGCAGTACAAGTGTACTGACATTCAGTCAGGTTTAAACAAAACATTCACGAACATATGTTCTACAGAAATACAGTCTCGAATAAGAAACTAAACTCATCCATTCTATGTGTTTCGTGTTATTTTCATTTCTTCTCGCGAACTAGAACGACGTTTTTATTATGAAAAAATTTGTTTTCTGATTTTTAAGAATTAAATCGTTTGCTTTAATTACAAATTACATCTCCATCTGTTGAGATGATAGACTTATTTGTGAATAATTGCTTACATAGTGTCTGAAAGCATCTAGAAATTTGCTTTTTAATTGCATAAAGTGTTATTAATGATACAAATAATGTAGAAATATAAAATAAATCTCAGAAATAAAATAAAAAAAAAAGAAGAGAGAAACAAAAAGAAAAGGAAACAGAAATATAGTTTTGTAGTGCTTGTGTATATCTGGAGGTTTTTCTTTCTTTGAAAATACTAAAATTATTGTGTCTATTATGCAATAATTTTTAAAGTGAAAACTTTTAAACAAAAACAGTGTACGAAATAAAATATAATTTGCGACTATATGCTCCAGTTTATTGATCTTTTCTTCTCAATTTCCTTTACCTTTTTTTTCTCTATTACTCTCATTAGATTTGGACAAGAAGATTAATTAAAACTGTTATTTTTCATTTGTATGTTGCAAATGAAAAGTACAAGAAAAACGAGTGTATTGTTCAGAAAAGAGAGAAAAAATAGGTACACGTAGCATCTTCATCCAGCAGCAGCTATAGAAAAAAAAAATCAAGATATTTAATCGAAATTGTGTGTTCTTGTTTCATAGTAAAATACCATAGAGTAGTAAATTCAAAGTCTAATGTGCTGTTTATGCTTGAAAGAAATCGAAAATCAACAAAAATAAATATTGTGTAAAAAGTTACAAATAATAAAATTTCATACTCAATAGTAAACAACGACTGTAGAGAAGTCATGATAAGTGGAGAAGTATAAACAGTGATAACAGTGCACAAGATTCAAGAGAAGAAAAAAAACATTTTTTTACATAACTTCTCCAAAAAAAATAATTTTTGTGCTCATTTTATGGGCAACAGAAGGAGGACAAGCATAGTTGAGTGAAATTTTTATGCTTTTTTTACGGATTACAGCGAATTTAATGCTTTAGGTGAGTCCTACTGTATTTTTTTTACATCCCATTCTCAGCAAATTCGCCAAAATATTATCGACCAGATTTGGTCAGCTTTGAAACACACATAAGCTTTTAATGGATAAAGAAAATTGTATACGGCTCGAATTTCCGACAGAAACACTTTTCAGCTGATTGCCTAAACAATAGAAACAAAATGCCAAAATATGTTGAAACATAAAATGACGTAAAAAAAGTATTATTATTGTGAATTTAATTATATTGATGAGGTTGTAAAAAGTCAAGTATTTGCAATGTTGAAAGATTGATTTAATTTTTTTTATATGAGATTCAATTTAAAAGATTTTTTTATTTGATTTAAATAAATATTTATTATAATTCCGAGTGGATTCAGTTTATGCCAGTAATTTTCTGCAAATGGATTGATTTATATGGATTTATATAAATCAATCAAAGATACTCTTTATAGTTCAATTGGAGATTTAATTTTTTTGCAAGGCTGTTAAGTAGAGTTAGATAACTATCATCTCATGCTGTCTTACGTAAGAAGTCAATGCTAATTTTGAAAGAACTTAAGCTTTTACTTCATAAGAATAAGTTAAGATTCTTATAATTTAAAATGTAAAATTATTCAACAAAACTTCGACATTTAAATCTTCGACTTCCAATCGAGATAACTAGAATAGCAAAAGTATTAAAATAAATCGCTTCCTTAAACTGTCCAATTAGAATATCATAGTAATGGATTCAATAAAAATTTCATCTTCACCACTTCGAAATTCCATCATATCCATAATTGATTAAGATTTTCGATGAAATCATCTCAATTCATCTCTTATCATAAGCAGCACATGCAAAAATTTTCCGCCTTCACTTTCAATAATTGTGATTATTATTTCATATAGAAAATTTTGTTCTACGAAGAAAAAATTGAAACATTTGAACAAAAAAAAAAAGAAATGAAAGAAAATCGATATCAATTTAGCATTCCGACAAATCTAAAATCAAATTCCGCTACAAGAAAAGTGCTTCATAAATATTTGAAGATTTCAATTACATTCGATTTTTTCTTCTTCCCATATCAATTTCCATTGTATGATGTGTATTTGCTGTAGACGCGTGAATTATTCTTTGCGTTCTCCCTAATCAAATATGAAATAACTTTTTACATCGTGGGCATTGACAATAATGGTGAAAAGGGACTAAAAGTGGAAAGTATTTTTGGCTTGAAAATTTGATGTCGAACCTTTTTACAGCGAAAAATGGGTTTGTAGAGTCTAAAAAGAAGAGCAAAGATAAGTTCAGACGACGGTAGAATTTGTTGAAATCAGTGTTGGTGTATGATTGTTTGAATGGTTTAGACAGAGTCTGACTTTGGACTTTTTGGGGCTTTGATCTTAACATCTGATGATCTAAATTTAAATCTAGACCAGAAATAGACCTGATTTTAAACAAATCAGATACAACTTTTGAAGATTTCTGTAACCTGTATCTAATCTCTTCCTCTACTTCACCAACTCTGGTAGAAACTTATAAATCCACTAGCCTTGATCTGCCTTGATGTCTATGCATGTTTATTTGTTTGTGTAACCCACTTTGAACTTTATAATCACAATATTTTTGCACAGGAAAGAAGAAAAAACTCGTTTTTAGCATAAAAAGTAAAACTTTTTTTTCTTCCATCTTCTATCGTCGTTTTTCTGTGTCTATACTGTATTAAATGTTTAAGCATTTAGAAACCGGAAAGAGATATTTTTTTTTGATTCAAAATTCATTGCCCCGCTGAGTGAATGTAGAAAAAAAGATTTAAAATTGGTGATTGTAATAATTGGTGTTTAAACGAGTGAAAACAATAAATGGAATTCCAAAATTTATCATTTAATGAATAACAAACCTTTTTATGGCTCCAATCCATTCCTATTCAATTTTTCTTTAATTTGTGACTAACTGATTAATGCTCAAAGCATTTGGTGTCATAAATTGTTTTCGCTCTCATTCATCCATGCGTGAGTTTTTATTTTGGATATTGCAATGTCGGTAAACTTTTCATCGCCAAAAAAAAGATTGAAAAATCTCTTCATTTAATTTATTGGAATGAGTTGATTAACTTAAAATTATGTTCGCCTTGAAGGATTTCTAAATAAAACGTTTTTCATGTGCGTGTTTTTGTTTTATGGATGGTTTTGGGGTGTGAAATTAAGCTTAAGGGGTGTCAAACTAAGTTTTCAAGGGTGTCAAACTCAGTTTTTAGACTTTTAAGGCAAAGATTCGAATTTAAATTCAAGTTAAATGTTTGATTGCTTTATTGAGGTTAAGACATGTCAAATCAAGTCAAATCTCAATTTCCCTCCAAAAACAGAGCCATACTTCTATATAAACCTCATCGAATTACACTAGTTTGATTATCTAAGTTTTGAAAATTGAGAAATTTTCGAATCATCCCACCAAAAATAGAAATACTTGAGCATTTCCTAATTTCATTTCACACTCATCAACAAGGTGATTCTTCTACGAAGAAGATTTGAGCATGTCAATATTCATGTCTCAAGAAGAAGGTGAAAATTTAGAAAGTGACATTGAAATGGGTTGAAAATTGCTCGTGTCGTGAGAATATTAATTCATTGTTTTGATGAATAGATCGACTCAGCATTCGAGCATCAAAACTTGATTGTTATTCGACTTGCGAATTAATTAATCGAAAGATTCTTCACACAAAAACAAAATCAAAATGAATCTGAATTTACCTGATTTATTCATTAAACCCTTTTAATCTCCCAAAAGCCAGATTTCTCTCTGAATTTGCTTTTCATTAAATTTCGCTTGAATGTCTGTTACTTCTCACGGTAAACGACGTATGAAAATTGTTTTTAATTCCACAATAATTCTAATTAATTAATTGATAGTTGAATGAAACCTGACAACATAAGCTGAGTGGGGAGTTCACGGGTTAGAG